CCAGATCCCTCAGCGCTGGCTCAGCCCGACTCTTCAACCCCCCCAGGGATCCCGGGGACTCCCCCCTGCCCTGGGCAGCCCATTCCAACGCCCAACAGCCCCTTCTGCACAGAAATCCTTCCTCAGAGCCAGCCTGACCCTGCCCTGGGCAGCTTGAGGCCATTCCCTCGGGGCCTGGCGCTGGGGCCTTGGCTCCAGAGACTCATCCCCCCTCTCTGCCCCCTCCTGGCAGGGAGTTGCAGAGGGCCAGGAGGTCTCCCCTCAGCCTCCTCTGCTCCAGACTGAACCCCCCCAGTTCCCCCAGCCGCTCCTCATAAGACACGTACCAGGGGCTTCAGCCAGTCCATTGCCCAGACAGCAGCAGCATGTTTCCCACATATTTTTCCTGGGGAAATCTCAAGCGAAGTTGCCAGAGGCTGGCAGCAGCTTCTGAGCGAGGGACCATGCTGACAGCATCCCTCCACGCCACCTCCCAGCACGGGCTGCGCTGGAGGCAGCTCCATGGGGCTGGGATTAAAAGTGACACGAGGCAGAGCTGGCTGGGCTGCTGGCAGCGAGCCTCCCTGCCTGCCGCGGGGCTCTTCATCTCTGTGCAGAAAAATGGAGCTGAGCCTCTCAAAACCCGAGCTGACTTGTAGCTCTTGTGGGAAAATACAGTCCGAGTGACTTTTGGAGGAATGTCTCCATGAGGCATCGGGTGTGGGGGGTGGCACATGCATGTGGCTTAACTCTGCCTCTTCCACTCTCTTCCCAGCGGTGACCTAAACGAAGACACTCTGGAGACTGAAAATGCAGCTGCGGCGGCTGCTGCCGCCTTCACAGCCTCCACTCACCTGAAGGAAGCCGTCCTAGGTAGGTCCGGCCCATGCCGAAGCCCCTCGGTTGAGCCGTGCTGGTTCCACCACCCCAGCGTGGCCCGATCCTGTGCTGGAGCTGGCCGAGGGGGCCCGGGCACTGCTGTGCAGAGCTGCTGGCCGGCCCGGGGGTACTGGGGTGCTCCCCCGGGGGTACCCGGCACCCAGGGGAGCCCAGCAAGCTGCAGGGCTGGGTGATGGGGAGGGAGGGAGCTTGGCTGGGCTGCTGCTGCCCTCTCCTGGTGCAGGATGAGACCCTGTGTCTGGCCATGGCTGGCTCCCGCCCTTCCAGCTTGCGAAGGGGATGTTGGTTTTGCAGCAAACTCGCTGGCTTTGGTTACAGATAAAAGTGAATGTAGTGAGCGAAGGCTGTGGCCAGTTGGGCTGGAGGGGACTTAAAACCAGTTTTATTCTAAAGCCAAGGGTGTCTTTATAATTACCCAAACAACATAATCCCTTTCATTTTTATCAAGAATTGAATTTTTTTTTTTAGCCCTGGCCACTGACTGCTCGGATGTCATGCACTCAGCTGCCACTGGGTCGGTATAAATCTGCTGGTGCTGTTTTGCCCAAGAAATGTGGGTGTTTGGATGCTTTAGTGGCAAAGTGCAAGTGAGTGGTGGCCACAAACCCCAACACACCCCACCATGCACCATCTGTTTTGGTTTTTTTTTTTTAATCCCAAGCTTCAGAAGTGCTTTATTGCTCTGTGTGTGTGTTTGTGCCTCGGGGTGGTGGATCAGGGGCTGCGACTCATGTTTCTTTTTAATCTGTCCCTTCCTCTGTTCCCTGTGAGAAGTGAAGATGGCTGAAGATGAGGACAGTTTGGAGGCAGAGATTGTCTACCCCATCACCTGTGGGGACAGCAAAGCCAACCTCATCTGGAGGAAGTTTGTGTGCCCGGGGATCAACGTGAAGTGTGTGCAGGTGAGAATGAAGGGCCCCAACACTTGGCTCGTGCCTTCCCGTGCCCGCGTTGCGGGCTCACCTGGCTTGTCCTGGTTTAGGTGAGCTTTGGTAAGCTGCTTTGCATCAGAACCCCATCGTGGTGGGCAAGGAGGACGTTGGTGCTGTGGTACGTGATACTTCTCAGCCAGGTTGAGCAGTCGTGGCTGGGGAGATGCTGCCTCAGTTTAACTGCGTTGTGGGAGAGTTTGAGAAATTTGGGCATTTCCAGTGTCTGCTCAGTTGAGAATTTGCTGAAGTTTATTAGTAGGGGACCCACTGAAGAGCTTCTACTGTGTCCTGGATAACTCACGGTTAAAATTTGCCTGAATTCGGGAACATCCTGTGAGCGATGCTGTCGTAAGCATTTGGACACGGACTAAAATACCCCGCTGAGGAGTGTCTCCCCTGGGCTCTGTTGCAAGAGGGCTCTCCTTGCCCTTCACAGGAGAGATGGTCTTTTCCATCCCTGAGACAGAGGACAGGTACTGCTGCAGATAATGCTGCTGCCTAAAATCAGCCCTTTCTTTGCACCAAAGCCCACGTACGTGTTCAGAGAAGCACTTTCTCGTGCAGTAATGGTGAGTGAGCTCTTTGTTGGTCAACATGGGCATTGAAAAGAGCCTGGACTTGGGAAATGGTTCTGGAGACGGGCTGTAAAGCAGCTCTGTAGAGGAGTGCTTGATTCTGGAGGTTGCTTTTAGGTCAGCACGTGGGTTCAGGCAGAGCTGGGCGTGTAGGGCAATAAAAGAAGGGGGAGAGCTGCCTGCTGACACGCTGGGCGCCAACTCCCTCCCCCTGGTTTTCGGTAGAAGTGGGTGTGTGCTGCGAGAGGCCAGAGGTTTCCCTGGCATTGACGGGCCCCGTAGCAGGAGGTCAAAGACCAAACAGGCTTCTCCTTCGTAGCGTGCCCCTGGACCCAAATGTCACCGGCAGCGCTGGCTCTCGGGAGCTAGTGGGAACACGGGTGGCTGTTGTTAATATTTTGCACAAGATACAGGGTATTTTTCCCAACCGTCCTGCCTCCGCATTTGGCAAACTCCTCAGTGCTGCGTAAACCCCCCAAACCCTTGGCTTTGAGCCGCTGTTAACTCAAAGCAATATTTGGCTTTCAGTTTTTGAACTCCGACAGTGTTCTCTAAGGTGGGGAAGCATGTGCGAGCTGTCCGCTTCGCTGCTGGGCGCCGGGAGCTGCCATCCAGGCAGCCTGGCCCCGCTGCGGGATCACGGTCCCGGGGCACACGTTCCTTGTTTGATGGCTTCTCACCCTGACGTTGCGCTTCTGCCTTTTGCAGTTTGACGATCACTTAATTAGCCCCAAAGAGTTTGTCCACTTGGCGGGCAAGTCGACCCTGAAGGATTGGAAGCGGGCGATCCGGATGAACGGGATCATGCTCCGGTTAGTCTCTCCGATTGTATCCACGGAGCAACAGCGGGGACTTGTTCTTTCTGGGGGATAACGGGGTGGAACAGAGCCTTTGACATGATTGTTTTGCTGCTGGGAGAGCAAATGTGCCGCTGAACGATTGTCTTAATAACAGCCTGGCCCCACACGTGCTCTGTCCAATGGCTTTGCTTTATCTTTGTGCCTAGGGAGTAATTTGGGGCACAAAAGGTTTCCTCAATCTACTTAGGAGTTGAACCACGCTGAGTTCCCAGCTGGCATAAGGTCACTGAGAGTTTTAACAGCCACGGGTGGTCAGGCCGTGGTGTCCACGGGTTCTCAGTGTGACCTACCAAATGGCAGCCAGTCAGCTATGTTCCCATTGCAGCATGTCAGCTTTACATCACCTTTTTTTTTTTTTTTTTCCCCCTGCCAAAGACTTATTTAAAGCTTATTTATGCAAGCGTTTCTCTTCTGTAATCTTAACTACAGTAATTTAATTCTTCAATGGCCTTGTGAACACCAGCCTGAGACTGCGATTTAATTAAAGCCTGCCTCTGCCTGTAGGCAGGATAAAAAAGTATCACCTCCTTCCCCAGGAATTGTCAGTGAGTTTGTACTCTTTTCACAGGGTGACGTTGCCTTTGCCTCTGTTCTTCTGCTCCAATGCAGGCGCCTCCCATATTCCTTCTAAGCAGCTTTTGCTCCACATAGATTTCACATAATAGGCTTATGCTTTGGCAAGGCAGGTCTTTCAAGGGAAAAAAAAAAACTTCTTGAGAAATATATGAAGGCAAACCCAGCAACCCATGAGAGCAAATCCTGGGAAGCTGAGGTGGTTGTTGGCCAGCAAAGTCTGGGGATGCTTTGGAGAGAATGTGCTGAGACTGGGAAGGTCACATATGCCAGTGTTGGAACCTCCTTTGCTTAAGCTGAGAGATCTTATTTTAGCTTATAAATAGAGTTGTGCCTCATCTCTTTTTGAGGTGTAGAGTCAAAAAGGGAAGGAAAAGACTTCCTGCTGTCTCACCCTGAACTGAGACTTCAGCCAGTCCTTCTGCTGGGAGCTGCAGGCGGGCATGGGGGGGAAGGTGCTGGTGGGACCAGACTGGCACCTTCTCTTCTCCTTCCTTCCTCCCTCCCTCAAGGAACGAGGAGTTCACCAGTCCCAGCGAGGGCTCCTAGCTAAAATTACAGACCCCCATGCAGAGGAGCCTGCTCAGAGAGGCAGGACTAGCTCTGAAACCAGCTTGCTTGGAGGCCAGGCTGTTAGGAAGTGGGAGAGGAGCCCCACGGACGCGTGGGCACGCTGGGGGTAGGTGTGTGTGGCTCGGGTGAAGGCGGGGGGTGTCCTCAGAGCAGGTCAGGAGATCCCAGGGAGGAGGACGACCCTGTTCAGCATCACAGGGTAGGGATAAAACTGCTGCATGGGAGCGTGGCCCAGGGTGATGGGGAAGAGCTCTCCCTGCTTCGTTATGGCAGCATTTGGGCTCTAAAACGCCACGTTTTCCCTGAAGGCTTGTAGCCAGCAGATCTGCAGGGAGCAGGGTGGTTTGTCACAAACTTCTCAAGGTATGTTTCGTTTTACAGGGATACATCCTTAGGAAAAGCTCATCTGTCTCTTGAGCCTCTCAGTGCAAGTTGAGTGCTCCAGTGGTGAAGAAAAGGACTTTCTCAGGCTAAGGAAATTCATCCTCTCTGGGTTGGACTCGGAGAGGAACCTTTTCCGAGGCCTCAAGTCCCGCTTCCCCTCCTCCAACCTGCAGGGGGATGCAGGCTGTGGCGGGGAAGTGATCAGAAACCGAATCTGCTCCAGTCCTTTGCTGCAGCTACAGCACAGTGGGCTTTTTTCCTCCCCATCCCAGCCTCCTGAAAGGCTTTGCCACCACTGGAGTATGGCGTGTTGGTGGCTCTGTGCATGTGGCAGGCTGTGGATGTTATTTTCATTAACGCTCAGTTAGTGCTGCCTCTAAGGTCAGGACACAGGGACTTGTCAAGGGAAAATCAGACTGTTGCCTCTGCCTGCTCCCTTGGATTTTGCTTTTCCTGGGCCTTGGAGAATTTTGGGGGGGTGAAGGCTGCCAGGAGCTGTGCCTGGGAGCTCTCTGCCCCCGCCGACGTGCCTGTCCCTGGGCTTGCTCCTGTCTTTCAGGAAGATCATGGACTCGGGAGAGCTGGATTTCTACCAGCACACGAAGGTCTGTTCCAACACCTGCCGGAGCACCAAAATCGACCTGACAGGAGCCAGAGTGTCCTTGACCAGCCAGACATCGACGGAGTACATCCCTCTGACTCCCGCTTCTGCGGATGGTACGTCCAGCCCTTCCTCACACCTGAAACGGCGGCTTCGGAGCGTTAGAGCCCAGGGAACGCCGCGTAACCAGCGCCCCTTGCGCTCGCCTCTTGGGCTTTCTGGGTTGTTCCACCCTCTGCGTTCTCACCCTGCTCTGTTGCAGGGTTCCCTGTAGCAGAGCGGGGCAGAGTCATTAGGGCGTCTCGGCGGCGATGCAGTGACTCACAGAACTGCTCTGTAACGCTGCGTGACCCAAGGAGCCGCCCTTCTGGCCTCCTGCCTTACCCCGAACTGTGTGGCCAAAGCAGGCCAGCTGTTCGCTAAGGCCAGATGCCAGGTTCTGCACTTGGGCCACAACAACCCCCAGCAGGGCTACAGGCCTGGAGAGCTGCCAGTCAGAGAGGGACTGGGGGGGTTGAGAATGAGCCAGCAGTGTGCCCAGGTGGGCAAGGTGGCCAGTGGCATCCTGGCTTGCATCAGCACTGGCGTGGCCAGCAGGGACAGGGAAGGGATCTGAGCCCTGGGCTCGGCACTGGTGAGGCCGCCCCTCGATTCCTGGGTTCAGTTTTGGGCCCCTCACCCCAAAAAGGCCATTGAATGACTCGAGCGTGGCCAGAGAAGGGCAACGGAGCTGGGGCAGGGTCTGGAGCACAGGTCTGCTGGGGAGCGGCTGGGGGAACTGGGGGGGTTCAGTCTGGAGAAGAGGAGGCTGAGGGGAGACCTCCTGGCCCTCGGCAACTCCCTGCCAGGAGGGGGCAGAGAGGGGGGATGAGTCTCTGGAGCCAAGGCCCCAGCGCCAGGCCCCGAGGGAATGGCCTCAAGCTGCCCAGGGCAGGGTCAGGCTGGCTCTGAGGAAGGATTTCTGTGCAGAAGGGGCTGTTGGGC